GGTGTCCCGTCCCGTCAGTCTAGCGCCCCGCCGTTGCCACGGTGAGGGCGCGGGCTGGGGCGGGCGGCTCGCGATGGCTGGCGTGGAGCTGTTCTCGCATCCCGCGCTCCGCACGCGCTACCGGGCCGGGCTCTGCTCCGCCGCGGCGCTGGTGTTGTTGCTTATCACGGTGCTTACCTATGTGCCACCGCTGCTGGTGGCCTACCGGAGCCACGGTGAGCGTCACTCCACCCCACCCCACCGCACGGGGCGCGACCCGGCCCGGCGCGGCCCTGAGGCCTCGCGCTGTTTCTGCCCGCAGGTTTCTGGCTGAAGCAGAGCGCGTACCTGGAGCAGCCCACTGTGCGGTTCCGGTACGAGGTGCTCTTTGTGGCCACCATCGGGCCCGGCCCGGGCAGCTTCTTGGCGTGGAGCACGTTCCCAGCGTTCAACAGGCTCCAGGAGGACCGGCTGCGAGTTCCACTCGTGTCGGTAGGCCTGCCCGGGGCGGGCCCGGCAGTGGTGGTGGGAAGTGGGGCTGGAGAGTGGGACCAGGGGAGTGGCAGCAGGCCCAGGGGATGAGTGCTGGCGGTGCCTGTGAGCAGGCAGCCTATTGTGCACTGCTGCCTTCAAGTAGCAGCTTCATGCATAACCTCATGCCTCACAGCAAAATTTGCTTGGGACAAGTGATGTTTAACTCATCCAGTTTTACTCCCTCTTAGCGTTACAGAATCATAGAATCGTTTAGGTTGGAAAAGACCCTTAAGATCATCGAGTCCAACCGTTAACCTAACACTGCAAAGTCCATCACTAAACCACATCCCTAAGCGCCACTGGTGGTTTGCATGAACGTATCAGTTTACTTTCCTCAAATTAGTTGCGCCCCCCGCCCCTCGCTGCCATATGGTTTATCATCATCTGAAGTTTGCAGGGATTGATAGGTAGCCCCGGGTTTCGAAAGCAGGTATGTGTTTTCCAAAACACATAGCCTCCGCCCTGCAGCCATTGTTCCTTCTGGGATTCAACAGTGGCAGTTATTTTTCTGCATTGCCTCTGTTATGAGTCCTGTTATGCTTGCAAATAGCTGAAGTACTGGGCATTTCTGGCACAGAAGTGTAGCAAGCCTTGGCTCACAACCAGGCATTGGCATACAGAGGCCATTAAGAGGCAGGGTGCAATGGCAAGAGGCAAAAGCCTGAGCATCAGTCACACATTTGCACAGGATGACGGAAGATCCAGCACCAAGGCATGCTTTGTAGCATGCAGGGGACATGGTTGGAATGCATAGGGCAGAAGAGACCTTGAAGAGTCTGATGAGCTTTACCTCCCCGGGGGGCATAGGAGGCATTGTATAACACAAAATTGCAGCCTTCTTGCTTGTCTCTAGTCCTGTGTCTATAAAGTCAAGCAGCTTTTTATTGCTTTCCTAACTATGCAGTTTATTTGCTTCTTTAGTATGTGCATGCTGCAGTTGTGGAGATCCCCTGGGGTTTTACCTTTTTTGTTTTTCTTTCTAACAGAAGTTCCTGTCTTTAAAAAAGTTCTTATTGATTCTTTTAGACTAGAGAAGAAGACAAAAATCAAGATGGCAAAATGGATCAGTTGCATTTTAAATTGGAACTTCCGCTACAACCTACAGAGCATGTAGTTGGTGTTCAGCTGATTCTACTCTTTTCCTACCAGCTTTATGTGAGCATTTTTAGTTTTATTTGTTGTGACATACAGACCCAGTGTAATATTCCAGTAGTGGTTACGCAAAGGATGAAAGAACCTTTCCACATTTGGAATTCCTGTCTAAAAGATTTCTTTTACTAACAAATATTTAATTTTCTCCTCCTCTGCTGCATCATTCCTATTCTAGCTCTGTTGCATATTTTGATATGTTTCGTTAGATTTTGGGGTTTTTCTGAAGCTGTGTATTCTCTTGGGCTGTAGTGCAGCACAGAGGACAGAGATGCACAGCAGTGGATATCAGTGTGGGTGGCATCAGGAAACAACTGAGAGAGTTACTTCTCTCAGGAGAGTCTTGCAGTAGGCAGAAGGATGTGCATTCTTACATGCTGCTGTGTCTTGACATAACCAGTTAATTTTCTGAGGTGGAGGGGCAGACTGTAGCAGCAGCCTAAAACTCCATCGATTTTGCTTACTTAACAGCTCTTGAAGCAATGGTAATCATCTGCCAGGATCTTCTGTATCTTGTAACTGGGAGGGGGAAGAAAGTGCTATAGGGAGACGGGAAAATAAAATTCCGCTGCCATTGTATCTCAAGTGGCAGTGCAATTAATACCTAAAGCATTGAGTAAAACACTAGTGCACAGAGAACCCATGGATGCATCTGAAAGGAGCAATAGTGTAGAGCTGTGTTGGCTGCAGCCACACAGACAAGAAGTTGTTTTACTAGGGAACTTAGGCTTCATTTATCCAAGAGACTCTTGCTGATCGCAGGTGGACAAGCTTAGCAAGCATAGCTGTGTCATGTAGAAAACATTCTTAAACCTATGAGGCCCAGACTAAAGGCCCGGCAGTCCTAAATTTGTGCTGAAGTATTAGGTCAGTGATTAGTATCACAGAGAGTTCCAATATTCACAACACCTTTGTTTCACAGTAAATGTGAAAATTTTTGCTCAGATTAAGTGGTTGATAGGGCTAAGGAACTTCCTTGTTTGGTCTTTATTGCAGAGCAGGAGTCCTTAGCTGGCTTTGACTGCTGAGTATTTTAAAGTGTGTCTCCAATTAATGTGTTTAGTCATCTTGCTGCTCTTCAGATGTTATGGCAAGTCAAATCTTTCTGTCATTAGCCACAGACTGTTGGACTTCACTGAATTTCCTGTGGAACTTTGGCTTATAAAGTTAGTTAACTAACAACTAAGGGAGTTCACTTAAAAAAAAAAAAATTCATATTTCTTATTTGGTGTTCCCGTGTTTAGACTAATGTGACAATCTGAAACTTGGGAGTCAGAAAAAAATCAAATCCATGCAGAAACAAAGAGGTAGAAAAGTGTGTTATGTTTCCCCCCCGCCCTAGATTCTCTTTTCTTGTGTTCACCATTTCAGAGAATGTCAACACTCGTGATGCAGAGCATGGCTTTTCTTCAGTTCTTTTCTCCTGTGCCAGGGTCTCAGCTCTATATGAATGGAGACCTGAAATTGAACCAGAGGCAATTACTTAACCATTGTGGACTGGATACCAGATACAATGTGAGGAAACTTTTTTTCCTTCCCCATCAATTTTCCTCCCTCTTTATCCTCCTAGTACCATAGGTGACACCCTAATTATTTGTACTCCTGCACAGAGTGGACCCTAGAACTTTGGAACTGGTGTTTTCTTGTTAGGCTGAAAGGTGGAAGAGGTTATTCTGCCAAGATGTTCAGTCTGATGTTTATGTGCGTTCCTTCAAGGGCATGGTTATTTTGTGTAAGAAACTCTGTAGATTTACTGTCTTGAAGAGCGTACAAATAATGCAAGTATTTCCTTGTTGTAACAGGTGTCTGTGGTCAATGGCACAAGTCCTTTTGCGAGTGACTATGATCTAACAAACATCGTTGCAGCATATTGGGATAGAAATGGTAAGCCTGGATGTATAGCTGCAAATTACAGGACAGCAGTAGTTAGCATATTAGCAGCTGTTCTGTGAGGATTTGGGTTCTGTTTTAAGACTGAAAAGCCCCTTAACCTGGATGTTTCCTTTTCCCATTTTAGTGACAACAGTCTTTTCAGATCCCAACCCTGTTTGGATGACTGGAAGAGCAACAGATACACCATTTATCATTAACGCCACTATTCGTTACCCAGTGGAAGTTATCTTATATCCTTTGAAAACTGCATAAACTGTGATGTAACTGGGTTGCATTATTTGGGCCTTCACATATAGGCCAAATGGAAACTGTTTTCTTCTAGACTTGTTGCTAAACTTTTCCTTTGTTAGCTAAGCAAATGCTATAGTCCTGGAGTTAACTGAATACCTATTTGCCTATTCCTCCAGATGGTTCTGCTTGCATAATCACTTTTTGCCTTTCTCTACTGGGAACCTGCGTCACTCGTCAGCCTTACTAAACTGGCCTTTAAGGCAGTTTCTTAGCCATTCACAGTGAATATCCTTAGTAAGTCTTGCTTTGCTCCTGCAGCACCTGCTGTCCCAGTCTGTCATGGATGCCACTAGCAAAGCACGATACTGTATTCTGTGACCTAAAGCAAATCATTAGAAATCTGTATGCAAGGTAAGCTCACCAAATACTAACCCCTGCAGTGGATGTGGCAAATCTGTTACATGCACAGACAGACCTGAATTTTTTTTTCTACAAAATAATTCTTTGTTCATTATGTTCTTTACTCATTTTCTCAGACAGGAACAAGCCTGTGTTTAAAAGAATCTGTATGGAGCAATTTCTTACAAGGTTTGTTTATCTGCCTGAGTATTACCAACAACTACTTTCTGGTGAGTCAGGGACACAATAGGCACTTTGCACAGAATTGGTTTAAATGTCTTCTAGGACATTCTCTGCAGCTTTTGTTACATACTACTGTAAAAGGCTTTTAGGGGTTTCCATGGCTCAAGGGCTTTGCATTTGCCACACAAACTGATGTCTAATGA